TTTATCATACTTTTATGAAATGCAATATAAAATTTCTCTTATTTCATAAAATGCAATATAAAATCTTATGTAATATGTACAATATACATTTTTTTAAATTTTTTCTTCATTACAATACAGAATTTTTATTCCATTTCTTTAATGTCACCAATTTTAAATTAATTGAGCGACTTTATACGAGGCTTGTAATTTTTTGACATATGCAACCTCAGAAAGGAGGGATTAGTAAATGACGAATCGATTTTTTTCCGTATGTATACAAATGTGTATATATATATATATATATACACACTTCTTATTTTCCAGATGACAAAATTAAAAAGCAAAGGTATGCTGTTGTATTATAAACACTTTTCGACAATAAACTATCAATATAATAGAATCAGACTCCTAAATAATTAAACAAATTAAAGTACTATAAATGGGAACTAAGAGTCTACGCGGTAATTAGTACGTTAATATAATAATAGATATTTAATTTCTATTGTCTCTTCGATTTAGACATACATATAATATATTGTATGCGTTTCCAGTTGTTTTAAGTCATTCTCAACGAAATATATAAATAAAGTATAAGACTATCTTGCAATCCTAGTGCCAATTATCCGCTTTACTGCGATGTTTCCTTGTTTTATCATGGTTATTGAGTCAGATAAAACATAGCAAGTTCCAGAGAAAGACATGCTATAAAACATACGAATTGAGTACCATAGTAATAAATTACTATGGTAAGATTATATGTATAGAAAACAGATAGTTACTCATCAAATTGCAAACAGATTATATAAATTCAGTAGTCACCAATGAATATTATAAAAATAGCATTCTCCGTCAAATATTTAAATAATAGAAAATTTATGTCAATTACGTTCAATATTTTTCATTTCGAACGTGTGGTTGACGTGTCAGTTATATAATATTTATTTATGTATTTCGTTGAGAATGACTTAAATCAAATCGAAACGTGTACGATATTATATGTATGTTTAAATTAAAGAGACAATAGAAATTGAATATCTATTATTATATTAACGCACTAATTACCGCGTAAACTCTTTCCCAGTTATAATACTTTAATACTATCAGTTCTGGAATATAACAATTAAAAGATTTTCTACAAAATCAAATAAATCCATTAAAAAAATTTGAATTAAAGCGCTAAATCGTTCTCCATTGATAATGTGATATCGTAAACGAACTTGTTCTGACAACAAGGAAACAAAAAACGGGAAATATAAGAGTTTAATATTTGCAAAGAATGTTTTAAGAGTAATTTGTAAAACTTCGTAAATAAAAAATGAAAAAGTTATTATTTTATACTTTAAATATTTTTTAAAAGTATTTCCTCTTTTACTTTTATCTTTTACTTTTATAATTACTAATGTTATAAAAAAAGATAAATTTACACTATTGTAGGCTAAATGATTAGTAAATGTAAAATTTCTGCAAGAAATTCAGAGGCTCTTTGGGAAATTTTTAATTTTTTTCTCAAAATGTTAATCAGAACCTAGAATTTTATTTTTATATTTATGTATGCCTGATAAAAAATTACTTATTATTTGTATAACAAATGATTTAAAGAAGAAATTGTTTTGTTTACTAAAAATTTAACTTTCTAAACTTTCTAAACTTATTGATTTTATGAAAAATCTTTCAATTATTATGGCCTATTTGAACGCATTTACATTTGAACAAGCATCTATCAAATGATAAAAATATTATGATACTTACAATCTCGATAATAGATCTTAATATACAAAAAATATGTGCTAAATGATTTTAATGCAAAAATAAATTTTCTGAACTCATATATGTTATCTTAAAGCTCTGGAATACTTTGCAAAAGTATAAAACTTTCATGTTTAAAAAAGTATATCACTACAATATTGATTATTCTGATACGTGATCGCTGATTAATGATCGCTAATGCTACGCTATAATTGTATATCGCATTAATTAAACAATTATTATAAGAAATTGTATTATATAAGCATAGTTTAGTCAAACAACTTTACAACATTCGCCGACGATGTAACTAATTATGATAACTAATTAATATATGAAAATCAAAATTTTGTGTACAAAAAATGTGGAAGCCAATCAATTTTTAAGATATATATATTTAGAAATGTCCTTGAAGCGTAATATACTTTCATTGTTTTAATCAATTGTTATAAGATTTGTATTTTTTATGAAAGTGCGACAATGTAAGACGCTGTATGATGACTGAAAATTATATAGGAAACGATAACCAAATCATACTTTCAGAATTGATAATGACGTGAAAGCAATGTTTTGTATAATCCTGATCTATAGTTAGGTAACATATTATTTTTTGTACCTCTACAATTGTTGTATGTTTCGAGTGAGGCATTTCACTATGAAAATAATATTGTACAAAGAAAAATTTCCATAAACAGATTATATAATAAAAGTTTATGATAATATGCACAAGTTATTAAAACATATGTTTTTTTATAAAACATATATACTTAATGCTATGGAATATATAACATTTGGGAGTATAATCTCGTTTGATAACTGTATTGTTACAAAAATATTGATCTTAATATTATTTTAATATGTAAAATCTTTCGAATAAAAAACGCTAATAATAAGATTCTATCGTTTATGAGATCTTTGAAACTGAGATAAATTACATACATGAGATTATTAAATAAATTAAAAATATTTCAAAGTTTTGTCTTTAATAACTTTTTAATCTATTCTCTATTTTTTAATTTTTAATTTTTTTAAAATTTTATAATAAAATTATTCAAATTCAAGATAGAATCAACTCAAAATTTCTTCAAAGAAATAAATAGATTTTAAGAAATATTTTTTAATCCATTATATTTTAATTGTTCGAAAAAACAATTCATGTGTTTCATATGTCAATTTAATTAATTTAGTTAAAAATTTTATTTCTCTAATTTAGCTTTACTGTGGATATACAGAGTGTTAAGAAAGTGCAATTACATCACTTTATATCACATTTGTATATCTATAGTTTACGTAATGTATATAAAATTCAACAATTAGTTCCGAGAAACACTTTTTCTTGACGTAAAAAGTAGCATATTTACTTCATTATTATTAGACTAGCAAGTATTGTTAATGTGTAAAAATACATACCTAGAATAAATAAGAAACTAACGATAAACTCTTTATTAAAAGTTTTTTAATACAAGGACCACAACAATTTGAGAGTGGATCAAGGTGAATGTATTAAAATAATTGTTAATTTTTATTTCGACACGCGCATTGTTATATATATATATATAAAATTACTTACTTGAACACTTAATTAAGATAACATGATATTGTTAAAAAGAAGAATTGTGACCCAGTAGAGTTATGAAATTACAAGTGTACTCTCTTTCACCACTATTTGTTGAGTGTACTATGAATAAAGCTCTATGTTTTATTAAGATGGAGTATTTATATCTTGAGATATATAACTCTCAAAAATTATCCCACTATATACATTTGTGAATAAAAATCCAATGTTTTAATAAAATACATAAAAAAATATACTAAAGTATTAAAAATAATGTAATAAAGGAGCATAAAACCACAAAAGTATTATATTAGAATTCATTTCTCTAATTATTCTATACAGTATAAACTTTCTATTTAAAAAAAAATAGAAGAATCACATATGTTCTATACAATATTTCTTATAAAATAAAATA